CTCACTCACATTATTGGGCAGAAGGGAAATGCTCACTCTTTCTCACCCCTGACTTCTTCATCCCTTTGCCCTAAACTCCTCCTTCTCTTTGTTGCACTCCTTACCCATTCTTTACTTCTGGCTTCCTGTATGTGGGAGGAAAGTGTCCTTTAGTATCATCAGCTGGATTTCCTGCCTCGCTGGGACACCTGGAGGGTAGGTGGCTGCCTTAGCACAAGGGCGCTGCTGCTGTCAGCAAAGCAAGGTGATGATGAGAGGAGGAAGACTTTCAGTTTATAGGCAGCATTTTATGTGCACCTGTCTTTATCTGCTGATTTCAGCAGAGCTTGGTCTCGTTAAAAGGACATGGGCAACTCTGTTTTTGTTTCTGGTTCCTTTAGGAATCCTAATCACAAAACTTCATTTAAGAAAGTGATTATATTATGTTTAAGCTTCCTCTCTCTTTGACAGGAATCTACCTTGAGTGATGACTCTACTCCTCTTAGCAGTAGCCCTAAGACGCTGGGCGCAGCCCTTCCTGAGACCAAGTATTCCTATCCATACCACACACTGTCACAGTCATCTGATGAGGTACGTTCCTCACCAAGCAGTGCCCGTATTACATTTGTGTATCTGACTGCATAATGGTGAATGCATCTTTACAAAGTTAATCTTTACATTTAATGAGGACTAGAACCTTCATTTTTGGGGTGAAGTGGCACAACTTATTTGCTACTCGCAAAGCATAGTCACTTGCATTGTGTGGGTGAGGAATAATCATTCATCATGCACGTAAGTAAATAAATGAGAACATCTAAGCATATGCAGAGGAGTACCACTGTTGCTACTGTGAATGACTTCAACCAATCTACGATATCTGGATCAAGGTGTCTTCTTCCCTATCATGTATCAGGTTGCATCAAGGAAGGTCATATCAAGGATGGGGTGGATTGACTCAACAGAGAAAGCCACAGTCTTGAGTTTCCAAAAGCTGAGCAAGGCCATTAATAATACGACCTTGTGGAGGTTACTAATCTACAGGGTAGTTATAAATTGGAACTGGCTGGATGGCAAATAGCAACGATCAAGGGAGTAGCAGGCAGCTGCAAAATATTTGAACCACCAACTCTTGCTATAAAGCTGATACCAGCTGCTTGAAAGAAATTAGAAGGAAACTGGCTGAAAATGTGGGATGGATACAATGATACCAGCTGCTTGAAAGAAATTAGAAGTAACCTTCAACTAGGAAACCGGCTGAAAATGTGGGATGGATACAGGAGTTCCATAAAGTCCTCTGAAGAGCACATTGGTTGCATTAGTGATGATCCAGGATTAAACTACATGCTACAAATACAAGGCGTGCAGCTAAGAGTTATTTTTCTTTCTTTCTTTTAAATTCACAAGTGAACACACAAGAGTCTAGTTTGGAGCAGGCCCATTGTGCACGAGAAAAGGAAGGTTGATATTTCTCCTCTAGGCAACCTTTTCATCTAAATCTAGGGCCTGTAAGTTCTCCAGAGCTTTGAAAATCGAAAGAAAACCTCCATTGCTGCTGCCGGAGCTTTTGACCATTTTAAACTTCATCTCCAGTGCTGAGCCTCAGTGCTGGAGATGAGAAATGGGAAAGGATGAAGTTCATAACTTAGGTTGAACAAGTCACCTTATGGGCAATGGTTCCCAGCCTTGGGTGAGTCAGGTGTTCTTAGACTGCATCTCCCAGAAAACCTAGCCAGCACAAATCTGGGAATTGCAGTCAACACCTGACTTACCCAAGGTTGGGAATCACTGCCTTATGGGATGAAGCTTTAAACCCCCCCCCCCTTCACCACTCTGGAGCTGCTTCATATTGTGCCCTGCATACTTTGCCTGGAAATAAAAAAGTAGTAATTTTTGCAGCTGCATAGTATCCATTAAACCTGAATCCAGTGGGTTGTTTCAACTAGGATAGCTCAGTTGAATCAATAGAACTTAAATATTAATTCACTTTTCAGACACTGAATTCAGTGGATCTTTTCTAGATGGGTCTTGTGACTGTATTTAGGTTAGTATGTGGTTTAATCTTCAACTGCCAGTCAGATTGTAGTAGAAGGTAAGTTTAGATTTTGGAGAACAGTCTGCAAATTCAAGATCTTTTGCATTCTGCCCCACTTCCCCCTTTGAAGTTCCTGGACGAACCCTTGAGTGCAGCTTCGACATGGAGTAGTCAGAAAGTGGGCCAGTGGTTGGAGAGCTTGAACCTGGAACAGTACATGGCTGAGTTTGCTGCCCAGGAGGTGGATGGCCATCAGTTGCTGCTTTTGGATGGAACCAAGCTCAAGGTAAGAGAGGAAGGGTTTCTACCCTATTCCAAAATCTTGCTTCTGAAATTCCCAGAGCTGGGGCATGATTTTTCCTTTTCCAAATTACCATTGCCAGAATTCCCCAGAGGAACTCATGGAAGGACTTCTGGGAACTGTAATCTGGAAAAGAAAAGAAAAACATTGCCAAATGCTATTGCTTCAGCCATCACTTTTTAGAAAGCCAGTGTGATATAGCAGAAAGAGTTCTGGATTCAGAAACTCTGGTGAGCCATAGAAACTGTCTGATGGTTGGCAATGGTAAACCAATTCTTGAAAACCCCATATACCTAAATGATCTTATTAGGGATGCTCCCAGTTGGAAGCAGCTGGGTGATATGTGATGATACCACTCCGCAGAAGGCTTGTGGGTGGAAGACAGATGGAGAGGTGTGCGTTTATTGATGCTAGTTGTGATGCTGCTATCTGGTTAGGTCTGATAGGACATGTATCCTTCTCATTAATGAAATTTAGTATATAAATACTAAATTAAAGTACAAGAGGTTACTCACATGTGCTTCATCATGTTGTCAGTATGCTATGAAAGGACTCATTGAAAACAAATCTTAAGAGAAAACACATGGAAAATGAAAACATTTTCAATGAAGGAATCTACAAATATGGGAAGCTGCTGTATACGTAGTCAGATTAATTTTTTTAGTCATTTACTTTGATCTGCAGTCACTATTCTAGGTTCTTAATCCAGAGTATTTTGTCACTATTTTTTTTTAAAAGGAACTATTTGTGTTACTCATTGCTTTCTGTTTTACCAAGTAATCTTTATGGTTTCTCCATTCTGAAACAAAGTTTGATGCATGATACATTTGGAGTGTGTTGTGTTGTTGTTATCAGCACACCAGGTAAATATTGTAGTGGCCAGTTTTGATGTCACATTACAGAAATATTTTAAAAAAACAAAACAATGCAATACTTCCTTTGCTGCTTAACTATTGATAAGAGAATGGCATATAACTTTAAAAATTCTTCTCAAAATGTCTCTAAGGCAATTCAAAATGTCATGCAAAAGTAACTTTGGAAGTAATGTCAATATGTTATTCATCATGCACATATTTACTCCTTTTAAAATGCAACTTAGTTATACTTCTGTTACCCCAAAATGTACTTGTAACTATTTACTTCTGAGTTTTGCAAATTTCTGGCCCACAAGCAGCCCCAATCTGACCTACAGTACTTGCAAAAGCCTGTGCCCCCCCCCAAAAAAAGTCCTGCTTGGATTACCACTGTGCCCCACTCACCCTCCTAACTGGAAATACAAGTGAAATGGAGGAATCCCTGTTATCACCAATCAGTTATCAGACATAACAGAAAGATTACACTCCCCCATAACAGACTTATTCTTCCCCGTGAGAAGTTGCAAGACACCGGTGCCAGTGTGGAAATGCACCTGCAGCTGGGTCTTGGGGTCTACTTTGCTGTCCCCACATCCTCATCAATGGGATGAGCAAATCCATCTAGGCAATAGGTGCTGAAACACCCCTATAATTGGTGGTTGGGTCTCAGAAATGGCTTTACTGCATAGATGCTTTCTCCAGCAGGGAAAAAGTGCAGAACTCCATAGCACGTGGATCATCCACTTGAGGTCCTCTCGCCTCTTGTGGGAGGTCATCTGCCTCCTCCCCTTATGTCCTCATGCTCCACCATGATACTACTTGGAGCTTTTTAAGTACCTGCGGCCTTCTGGTTGCAAAATATTTGCTCTGCTCCTTGGGCTGAAAAACTGAATGAAAGGAAGTAATGTGTTAGGGATATGAGTTCCTGAATGTGAGATGCTCATAATTCTACAGCTCTGTTCCTCCTCCTTCTACTTCTCAGGCTCTTGGAGTCAGCAACTCCCATGACCGTTCTCTTCTAAAGAGGAAGCTGAAAGAGTTGAATGCAGCAGTTGAGAAAGAGAGGAAAGCTCAGGAAAAGGTGGAGAAGCAGAAGGAAAAACAGAAGAAGAAAGAGCAGGAACAGAAGAAGACTTAGGCAAAGCATGGGGATGACCATCTCCCAGTGCACGTGACTAAAAACCTTCCCTCTTCACCCATGGAGAGTCTCTAGGGTGGGAGGGATGGACCATCTGCAGCCAGGCAAGTGGGGGGGAAACGAGAAGCAGGTAGGAGCCTGCTGAAGGTTATGGGTTTGGGTGGGGGTATAAAACGTGGCTGAACTTGCTAGGTGACCAGGCAAGGTGGAGAGGCAGCAACAGCTCAGCATTCCCAACAGTGATTGGGTGGACCACATGGACAGAGAAGGCAATGCCTCTGCAAAATTGTGTCCTCTGTCTCTCTGACGCCTGGATTGCCCAACTGCATTTTCAGTGGTCTGACAAGCCCCCCCATCCTGCTATGCTGTGGGGAGGCTGGTGGTGAAATGGCCCACTGATCCTGCGCCCTGTGAAACCCTTCATATATAACACCTCTTGACTTTCCTATCAATTCCACACCTCTACGTGATGCTGTTCAGCCTAAAAGGCCCAGATATGTTCACAGTGTGCCAATTAGGTGTCCTGTCACACCGTCCTGTTCCCACGAGCCGCCAGAGAAGAGAGGGAACCACAGCTGCCTCACAACACACAACCACACATACACAAGCGTGTACACACACACATACACAATGTCTCCCAAAATACAGCAGGATGAGAAGAGTGCATGTCTGTCCCCTGTCCCCCCCCCCACACACACATACACACCTCCTTCCCTCCCAAACAGATTCTGCATCAGGTACAATCAGATCTAACTGGCTCTAAACTTCCCTGTGGGGCGAGGTGGGCAGGAAGGCTGGTTGCACGTAGCTCAGCTAAGAGAGAAAACTCTGTGTGAGCCGCAGATGTCTGGAGATTCACAATGAGAAACCACAATGGAATAAAAAGCAATTTGAAATTCTTTGTATTGATTGATTGATTGATTGTATTTATATCCCACCCATCTATCTGATCAATTGACCGCTCTGGGCGGTTAACAACACTTAAAATAAAACAATGTAAATATAACATCAATATATAACATCAATAATCAATTGTTCAAAATGGAAAGAAAAAAAGGAAAAACGTAAAATCAAATAGTGGCTGGCGGGAAGGCCTGCTTAAACAGCCAAGTTTTCAATTGGCTTTTTAAAATGCCCAGCGAAGGGCCACACGAATCTCAGGAGGGAGTTTATTCCTTGGTGAGGATGGGTGGGTGCAGTTCTTACACTGAAGAAATGAGCTCAAATCTTTGAAAGAACTCAGGAAGGAACCACCTGTATTGCCTAGTGAATGAAGAAACCTGCGATACCTTCTGTCTTTCACATTTAACAGTGAATGGCCCCAAATCCACAATAGAACCCTCAAAAAACATTTTGCAACTATTACTCATTCTCAAAAATGTTATTACATTACTTTATTAAAGAAACAATAGTAGTAATGTAGCCTGGAAACTTACTGGCACGGGCAGAGAATGCCCTATTACAAAGAATGGGTCTCCTGCTTGCTTACACAGGGAGGGTATGGGGGTGAGAAGGAGTTTAGATGTTTGGAAAATATCCATGTTTAGAAAATGCTGAGTCACTTGCACAACTGATTGGAGCACAAGCAATTTACCTCACCATGGTTCAGGCCATGGCTGCCCCAGAAGCACTGCATTAACGGTAACACCTTTGCATGTTGTGTGACTTCTAAGTGCAGCCAAAACCTGAAGAAGAAAAAAATACATAAATGTATTGCTTCTTAGTCATGAAAGAAGTCTCATGTCTGAGGGAACACAGCCACTACTCCACCATCTGGTGTTTGAGGGCAGTTTACCTGTCACAGTGTAGGCTTTATTTTTAACATAGCCAAATGGGAGTATTTAAGAAATGGGAGCAAAACCCACACATTTTTAACTTCTCACCTTACTGGAAGTGACTCAGGTGAAAGAAAGCAAAGCATTCAGGCAACGGTGCTCGGGGAAGTATGCCATGAGAGGCTGAATTTGTTCCCAACATATTTATAAGCCGTTTAAGGAGTGAGAAATAAATTATTTAGAAGCAAGCACATGTTTAGGCCCTAAGGGACAAAGGAAATCACAGAACTCTTAGGGAAAAAATCCTTTAAACTCTCTTGACTAAATCAACCACTTAATCAGTCTTCTGACCATAACTCTAACAAAAATCACTCGCTTTCACCACCCCTAAGAAGCTTGGCCTAATGAGGCTGACTGAAGTGGTTACAACCTCATGTATCACATTTTGAGGGGTACATTCTTGTTATGTAAGAAACAGAGCAGGTCTAACTAACAATCTTGATCGTGCAATTATGGGAACACAAGCTTTCGGGCAGGGTTGCCTTTCCATGACCCCCACCTAGAACTGCCTGCATCCTGGCCTTTCATGTTCCCAGCACCCTTGCTTGATAATTCTCTTTCCACAAACCACACACAGCCCTCTCAAATCTCCCTCTCCCATCACTAAATGTTTTATATTTCCTTAAATGTCAAAGACCTTGTTTCCCCAAAAATAAGACCTAACCTGAAAATAAGCCCTAGTATGATTTTTCAGGATGATCGTAATATAAGCCCTACCCCAAAAAATAAGCCCCAGTTAAGTGAAAACCCGCCCTCAACCATTGTGCAGCAACCAGAAAAAGATGACATGACTTTAAAATAAAACATCCCTTGAAAATAAGCCATAATGCTTTTCTGGAGCAAAAATTAATATAAGACTCTATCTTATTTTCAGGGAAACACAGCATATATGCATTGCAGACTGGTGAGGGAGGATTCTGGGAGAGAGAAGGTCCCTATCAACCACTTTTTAGCACGAACTATTAGACGTCTACAATGAGCAATGACTGTGGATGTCCAAAAGCTTGCCTTCTTCCTATACTGCTAACATACACATCATTACTTCAAAAACAATATCCTTAGCTACCACGAGGAGTAGACACCTAATTGTTAAAAGGAAATGGAAGTATTGTAAGCAGGATCCTTTTTGCAATAACCAGATTAAGTCTTTCTTGAATAAAATATTTAAAAAATTAGCAGGATTTTTTATATATAAAAAGCTTACTCATAGGCAAGCAAGAACAGCTTACTGTTCACATAGTAAGGTGTGAAATCTGCCCTAATTCATTTTTTCAAGTGGAAATATGAAACTTCACTGTGTTCTATATCCAGTGTATTTAATACACCTAGATTTTAGGGAGGCTGCAGCCTCTCTCTGGGGCCTAGCAGTAGGCTGGACTGCTTCAATGTCACGTAGTGATGTCATATGTTCTTGTGGTCTGGGGGAAATGGTTTAAATGTCGCAATTGCCAACTGCCACTCAGCTTTGGCAATCTACCCATGCCAGCCGCTGCACATCAAATCCATTTTGTCCCTGGGGAACCTTGGTTTTCCCTGTTTTAAAAGCAGGACACAGTGTTTCACAGGGAAATGTTGCCACATGGTGAGCGTAAATTCTATGCATATTTATAAATGCATGCCCATATGGTGGAAGACGGCAACCATGTGAGGTCCCTCTGCTAAGTAATTTGGGGGAGGGGGGGCTATTCCAGGCAAATGGAACAGCTGGAGATCAATGTTATCTTGAAAGCTCTCCTCAACCCACTGATTAGTCCAAGGAGAACAGGCAGCAAAATTACTGGTCTGAGGAAAAGGGGTCTCAAGAAGACTAACCACAATCAGGGCTGGCAGGTAAGATGGACACAATTTGGCACAGGCAGTTATGGAAGATGAGGCATCGTTTCTCCCCGAGTACACAGTGTCTCCAATTCCTGTCCGCCTTCAAGCACAAAGTCAGATTTGGGAGCAGGAGGGGGGGAATGGAAGAGAGGAGGGCTTTCCAAGGACATTGCCAGCATTTCACAACATTGCATGAGCTTGTACATTGTACAGGAAAATATGCCAGGATTGGGCGTTCTCTCACTGACCTTGCTACCAAGCTGGGAAATGCGAGCAACCGAAACTATACCTCACGGACTGCACTAGCACTTTGCTGATGGACATATTCCTGAGGGTGCTCCCTTGCTTGCTCAAAGGTGTGCTTGTAGCCAGATGTATTTTGGAGTTAAAAGTCCTCCTGTTTGCTTGAAAAAAGACAGCTTGGCCTTAACAGAAACCAGAGAACAGCCATGCCCCTGGTAGCCTCCTCCTCTCTTGCCTCAAAGAAATATGGGAAAAGATGTTACCCCTCAGCCAGCTGACAAAGGAAACCAAAACAATTTAGTTCTTATCCAAGTGGCCATGCAGTTGGAAACCCTGGCATATTCATTGTAGGAATCCTTTAAATATCTCCTTGTGCTGTTTCATTGCAGAATCCTGCTTTTTGCTACCCAAAAGACAGGATTTTTTTCACTCACATATGTGATTGTTTTCAAGTTTCCTTCTGGTCTCATGCAGGGGGCCCATATGGACAGTGCTAATCCTGAGATGCTTCTCTGTGTGAACCTTGTAGAACATGTCACTCTCCATTTGCACTTGGTCTTGGTTTGCAGGGAGGGAGGGAATTCATGCTCCCTTGGACCATACATAAATAACCATCCACCCTTCTTCTAGTTATTATTTAAATCCTTGTCTGGGTAGTAAAGCCATCTCTGGGACCAATTACTTACATGATAGTCCTACAAGTTGCTTGCTTCCTAGGCTAAAAGGAGGAAGGAAAGGAAAGAATCAGTTTAAAAACAACAACAGAGAGATCTATAGGGTGGCTAGCAATCAGCCCCCACATTACTTATCAAGAAAAGTCTGCAAGGACAACCTTGAAACTGGACTTCAAAAGTACAGCCAAATGCATTTTCACCATTATACGAGTTCTTGAAAGTTGGTATAGGTGGTGAGGAGGCTTAAAAGAACAAACACAATGCAGTTAATTCCCAGAAAAAAAATTAAGTAAATCACATAACCAGGCAAAGTTCAAACTCAATAGTTCTTTATTTTTAGTTTTTCCCCCTTAAATGACCAGTGAACAAAGAATACTATGGCAGCATTTGTGTGTTCAATGTGTACATGATTTCACCCAGACAATAAAAATATATCTATTTACATATACGTAGACAATTCCCAGCCAATTCAAGAGCACATTGTTGGGGCTGGCAGGGAAAGAAGGTCTAGTAAGAATGAGAGGCTGTTCAGGAAGTGCTTAAGGTGGTAAGGGAACCAAGCCCAGGTGCAGAAGAGAAGGACTGAGGGATATGGAAGGCCACTTACTTAGGATGATTAAAAAACAGAAAGCAATGGCTTCCAATCTGCCCATCTGCTTCTCCATTCCTACTTGCGTTAAATAAGGACCAGAAAGATCCTAACAAAAGCCACAGGAGGGGCAGAAGAAAAAAAAAGTGAGGAGCAAGGGTGAAACCAGTTCTATGGTCTCGGCGCCTCTCATTTTCAGAGCTTGGACATTCTTTATGGAAGTGTGACTTCCAGAATCCTTCCTCTGACTGAGGGCTTTTGGGAATTATGGTCTCAACAAGCCATGTTTCCCTTCCCAGAGGAAGTAGGTGGTTCAGCACAGCTATGCAGGTCTTCTCCAGAACACACACACATACCCCTCTGCCACTGCTACATGAAAGCAAACCCTAAGAAGCCCTTAGCGCTCCCATTTCAATAACCCTGAAGGCAAATTAGATTTAAGTCTTGTCCAGCAGGTCTTCCTCCTCCATGTTTTTTCACAGGCGCTACCAGCACATCTCAAAGCAGCCAACTGGTCTGCATGGCACCTGCTGTGATTCTGAACAATTTTGCTTTTGCAAGAACAGAGCACGTGCTGGCGTGGCAAAACTTGGTTCTCAGCGAGCCAGACATGCAATTCCTTCCATTACAAACAGATGCCTCCGATTTACCCACCAAACACAACCCTCAGCAGTCGTTTAACAGTGCCAAGCAAAATATGGCCCTTCTGCCCTGGCAAGCAAGCCGGATAAACAGGGAACTACCAAGAGCCAAGGGAGAAAATGATGGGACCTCCAACAATGTCAGCACAGCAAACTCCCTAACCCTCGCCATATTCTATTGCACATCTAAAGTTTGGCCCTTATTTTGATACCTAGCTCATCCTCTTGACAATACTGCTAATTCTCAAGCTGTTTTCCAGCCAACCTAGATATTCATATTTGTATTGAGAAAAGTACATAGAATAGAACGCAAGAATACCAGTGCACCAATTTTCTCTCCTGGTGCTTATATTCAATCAAAAGCAAACAGCCTCCCAGTTTTTCTCTTTCACTCACTCTTTGCAATTAGCACATCTGAGTATCTCTTCCGCTTCTTTCTCCCTTGTTTCCCCCCCCCCTCCTGGCCAGGAAATATAACACAACCAGCACACATGTCAGTTTCTGCCTCCGTTCTTTTCTGTAGAATTGCTTGGTTCATCTCGAAATTTTAATGCCCATGTCTTGAAGCTCTAAAGTTCGTCTGTGTTATGATTCAAGAGTAACAAAAAGTGATGCAAGCTACCACCAAACAGGATGAGAACAGATCTTTGGAAGGCAAACTCTCATCTGCTAGATAGGATTGGGGTAGACAGGTCAAGGAGATGTTTCATGCAGGGTTAGGACAGCAATGGATCTACACAACATACTTCTGAAAACAAAACTGAGAACGTCATCAGGCTTTGGATTGGCTGGTGCACTGTCCAGGCCAGCCAATAAGAATAGTCCACGAAGTGCATTCGTGCTGGTGATGATCATCTCTCTCTCTCTCCTCTCCTCAACAAGTTTGGCTTCTGCACTTAGGAGGTTGGGGTAGATGCCTTTTCTCAAACAAAGTTTTAATTTATGTCACCCGGTACGTGGAGGTATTCTTGGGTTCTGTACTGGGCACACACCAGTCATCTGCCTCCTGGGTTGTCTGGTAGTGACGCCATGCTGACTTGTTGTACACTGGAAGCCTCTCCACAGAGTCCGATGACAAGGCCTGGAAAGATACAAATCTGTTTAGGTCATGCTTTTGACAGGAGCCCTCTTCAGGCATTATCAATCCAGGCAGACCACGAGTGCACCAAGTATGACTCCTCCCTTAGGGCACCTCTTGGGTTTTCTTCTGGGGTGGAGAAGTCAGCCCCGCAACAGAAACCCATGGCTTACAACTTCAAAACCATTGGAAGGCACATTTTCTACTTTCCTAAGTGGAGAACCTTTGTGAACAAAGTGGGATGTCACCTTTTATGTGAGGTCAGCAAAGAACCCTATAAGGAGAGAAGGAGGGCTGGTGCATGAGACTACCCAATTCATAATGGCCAAACAGGGAGTTTGGCCAGATGTGGCCAATCAGCAAAACCACCAGTACACCAAGCCCTGCCCAGCCTTTCAGCAACCTCTGATCCCACTACACTTCACACTGCACAATGTATGGACAGTACTGGCTCCTCAAGGACTACTCATTCTATTGAAAGGCTGGCAAATCTGTTATCCCCCAAAGATTGTTGTACTACGATCCCCATCATCCTTGATCAGTAGCCATCCTGAGACAGCATTGTAGTTCAACAACACAGGAAATATCACAGGCTTCCCTGAACTTGCTCTACAGTACCAATATACCACATTACAATGGCACATTGTCTTTCATAATTTGGTGTTTCTTTAAAAGATGATAATCTCATGCTTCCAATTTAAGATTAGGCTGGGACATGATGCATGTTCGTGGGCTGGAACTGAAACAAGGATGCAGAAACTGGCAAGAATATTCTATTAGCTCATATATATGTTTCGGCAGTTCTAAGTAACTATTCCTCTAGTCCAGTGGTTCTCAACCTTTGGTCCCCCAGAAACTGTGGATTTCAGCTCCCAAAGTCCCACTGGTGGAGGGAACTGAAGTCCAAAACATCTGGAGAGCCAAAGGCTGAGATTTACTGCTCCAAGCTGAATTCCTCTCAAGAGTTCTTAATGATATTTCAGAGCTTCCAGGAGTGGTGAGGGAGGGGGAGGAATGACTTACCAAGTTAGCACTGCTGTGTCAAAATTTAATCAAAACATGAAGCCCAGACCAAAGTGCAACAAGTTTTGTCAACTGAAAATATGGATTAGGGTTAAACACCTCAAAAAGCAGATCCTTAAGAAGTGTGTTGCTTTTATTTTATACAGCCAGAAGTTTGAATTTTAATTCTTTCCTGTGCATCCCAGAAGAACCAGCCCATGCGACCTTGGACAAGTTGCACAGTATCAGGATGACCCCAGAAGAAGGGAGTGGTAAACCACTTCTGAGTACTCTCAACCTAGAAAAGCCTACAAAGGGTCATCATAAGTCAAAATTGACCTGAAGGCTCTGCATGGACTCTGTGGACATATTCTCAGCATGCTGTTCCTCCTCTTAGCTATCTGGCAGTAAAAGGAAAGGCTTCAGATGCTACAATGGAACAGCTGCTATTAACCAGGACAGCCCAATAAATCTGGAAGGATTCCATGGGGCAGTGGTGCCAGGGATACCAGCCAATGGGGAGATAGGTCTTCCTCCCACTTGGAGCATGATGGGACTGTGACCTTGCTGGGTTCACCAATGAACCCTCTGTATTTGTTTTACTGAAGGCAAATGACCTCAAGAGCAGGAGGCTGAATAAAGACAAGGCAAAATTCACAACCCTGGCTCCAGTGAATAACCTCAAAACCTACACCCTTTCCATATAGTGGAACCTGTAAATTGACACCCCTAACCTCTTGATTCGAAAAGAACATCCTTAACCTCTTTACTGGAACTGATCTCCCTAAATTCTTGCCTGGAGGTTCATGAAAGACTAATAGGTTTAAATTAGCAGTATAACTGTGCGGCTGGAGGCAGGGTGTTTTGTTTTGTGGTTTTAACTGAGTGTTCCAGACACAGAAAAAAATGCAACAATCAAAGCAGGAATTCAGTCCTGGTGGATGGGAAGGCGCCCACTCACTTTCAAATAGATGACTGCATCTGTCCCAAATCCCTCCATGGAAAAAAGCTGAAGGTCACCTTGGAAATACTTGGCATACAGTCTGGAAATAGGGAGTCCATAGCCAAAGCCAGCCTGATTTTGGAGAAAGAGGACAGACAGAAGGTCAGTAACTGACTGTTTACTGCGTTTATGTCTTACCTTTCCCCTTTGAACACAAATCAGTGGATATGGCCCTCCTCCTCACTTTAACTTCACAATGAGCCTCTGAGGTAGCTGAGTCTATGAGTCATTCAAAGTATATTACTTAGTAACCCAGCTGGCATTCTGGTCATTCACCTTCTCCAGCAGCACCACTATCCTGTAATTCTCGACTCTGGAATCAAACCACAGACCATGGGATCAAAGCTGAAATTTGGCAACAGGCAACAAACAGAATAGGAAAAACCCACTAGGCATTTTCACTACGACAAAGCATCTCCTCCCCAAGCACCTTACTGTGTGTAAGGGGGGTGGGGCAGTGTCATCTGTTGTACTGGCATGCTGCCAAAATGTGTTCAAATTTAGCAGCGAGGGATATAGGGGCCGCAGGAAAAGTGAGACAGCCATCTGTTGTCCTTCCTGGACAGCATGACTGTAGATCATGACCTGTGCCCAACAACAGTGATGTGTCATTTGTTGTGGATTTTTTGGTCTTCAACTCCCATAATTCTACAAGAATTCTCCAGGAAGAGAATTCCAGTCCACAAACCCATACCTCCAAACACTTGCATTTCTATCATCAGGACCAGGCCCTATCACAATCTCAGATGAACAACAACACATGGCATATTACACTGTGTCCTGATTTATTTTACAAAATTTAAGCCAAAATGGAAAAGCCACATGTGAAAATTAAGTGCATCCTTACTGCTTCCATAGGAATAAAGAGACTAAGTAACAGCCAGGTACAGTTAAGCAAATGCTCTTGAGTAATTGATCATCAGCAGGTGTGACCACTTCTATAAAAGCCAAAGTTTTAGCTGTTTGCTGGTCTGAAGCATTCAGGTGTGTGTTCACAATGCCAAGGAGGAAACACATCAGCAATGATCATAGAGAAGCAACTTTTCTTGCCCATCAATCTGGGAAGGGTTATAAGGCCATTTCCAAACAACTTAAAGTCATAATTCTACAGTGAGGAAGATTATTCACAAGTGGAAAACATTCAAGACACTGGGCAATCTTCCCAGGAGTGGATGCCCAAGCAAATTCACCGCAAGATCAGACCATGCAATGCTCAGAGAAAATTGCTGAAAACCCAAGAGACTCTACAGACCTCAGTTAGCATGTTAAATGTTAAAATTCATTACAGTATAATTAGAAATACTAAACAAGTATGGGATGTTTGGAAGAGTTGCCAGGAGAAGGCCTCTTATCTCCCCTTGTTAGGACTACAGACCTCAGTTAGCATGTTAAATGTTAAAATTCATTACAGTATAATTAGAAATACTAAACAAGTATGGGATGTTTGGAAGAGTTGCCAGGAGAAGGCCTCTTATCTCCCCTTGTTAAGGAGGCAGTGATTCGCCCACTCCTAAAAAAATCTAATCTGGACCCAGGTCTAGTGATCAACTATCGACCAATAGCAAACCTCCCTTTTCTGGGCAAGGTGTTGGAACGTGTGGTGGCTGAGCAGCTCCAGACTGTCCTGGATGAAACGGATTATCTAGATCCATTTCAATTGGGTTTCAGGCCGGGTTATGGGACAGAAACTGCCTTGGTCGCCCTGTTTGACAACCTTTGCCGGGAGAAAGACAGGGGCAATGCATCCCTGTTGATTCTCCTGGACCTCTCAGTGGCTTTCGACACCATCGACCATGGTGTCCTTCTGGACAGA